GGCGGCTGCTGCCCAGCGCTGTTCTCAGGATCAGCCGCGCTGAGGGGTCTGCGCACCCTGGTTGGCTCACTAGGTTCTCCCTTTGAGGCCTCGCCGTCCGTGGGGCACCCCAGCACCCCCGCCGCTGAGAATCGAGAAATGCAGACTCTTTGCCGACAGGCTTTTTTCTGGAGAATTTAGCTTACGTTTCCTTCCAGCGCAGCCGTCGGGGCGTTTCCAGCTGCTCATTCGAGGGCGTCATGGCCGGGGTCCTAGCTCTCCTGTCCTGGGGGGACGCCAGGCGTGTCCCTCGGGTGCAGACGCGTCCTGGTCACTGGGCTCCCGGCCGGGCTCGGCCTCCCGTGGGCACCAAGCGCAGGAGCTGGAGTCAGATTGTCTGTCGCAGGGACGAGGGGGGAGGAGGGGCCGGCTGCGGTCGCCCTGCCCTTGGGGGCCCTGGGGTTTTCCCTAAGGGCTCAGCATCCCCATCTTTAAACTTTGTCCGTCAGCCAGGGTGAGAAGTTAGTTATTTTTGGAGCCGGGGAGGTCCCGGTGCCGGGCAGGCGCTTCTGGAACTGAGCCGAGAGCTCGGGTCTCGGTCTCCCAGTAACAGAGCAGAGTTTCCGCTGAAGAAGCCGCACGGCCGGCTGGCGCTGACCGCCCGCTGTCCGCTGTCCTCGCTGCCGGCATGGCCTCTGCAGCTCCCAGAGCCGGTGGGCGACCAGGTCGGGGCCGCCGCCTCCACGCTTCCTCATCTGTGGGCTCGGGACCCAGGGACTGCTGGCTGACTGACGCGTTGATCCGGCTGGTGACGCGGTACAAAAGCTGCGTTCCCAACACCGTTCCTCACCCTCTCCCGGCCGCCGCTGCTCGGTGGCTGAGCCTCGACCTATGAACCAGGAGGTCAGGGTTCCCGCTCAGGGCACAGGCCCGGGTTGCGGGCTCCATCCCCAGTGTGGGGCGTGCAGGAGGCAGGCGATCCGTGATTCTCTCTCATCCTTGATGCTTCTCTCTCTCTCCCTCTCCCTTCCTCTCTGACACCAATCACAGTATATTTTTAAAAGAAATACGGCTGACTGTCCCCAGCGTGGCCGGTGGTGACCCGGCCTGGCTCTCACGGGCACACAGCTTCTGGGAGTAGGAGCGCGTCCCCTCGGAACCACCTCTGGCCGCCGTCTTTGGGGGGTGTCCTACGTCCCTGATGGCTTCTCTCCTGTGTCACGTGTCTCCCGCCCCCGCCCACCAGGCTTATGTCAGAAGATCCCTCGGAGCAACCCAGGGTCGAGGTCTCCATCGTGGAGGTTTACAACAACGACATTTTCGACCTTCTGGCCAAAGACGGCTGCGCAGCGACGGCCGGGCTCAGGCGCGAGGTGCTGACCACCAGGGAGGGGAGGACGGAGGTGTCCCCGCTGACCTGCCTGTGAGTACCTCCGGGCGCCGCGTGTGGGCTCCTGGGGGCGCGACCTCCCCACGACCCGGCCGATCAGCCCTTTTGTCCATGAACGTTCGCTGTGACTTCATGCTTAGTGCACGCTGCCCATGTCAGTGTGCCTTAGAATTACCTTTCAAAATCACAAAACAGCCCGGCCGGCGTGGCTCAGTGGCTGAGCGTCGACCTAGGAACCAGGAGGTCACGGTTTGATTCCTGGTCAGGGCACAGGCCCGGGTTGTGGGCTCGATCCCCAGTGGGGGGCGTGCAGGAGGCAGCCGATCCATGATTCTCTCTCATCATTGATGTTTCTCTCTCCCTCTCCCTTCCTCTCAGAAACCAATAAAAATATATTTAAAAAAATAAACTGTGACCCCTGAGTGTGTGGCAGAGACGAGCGCTGGCTGCTGCAGGAGGGGCCGACTGTCGGCGGCTTGTGTGGGGAGAGCAGGTGGCAGCGTCAACAGAAGTGACGCGTGTGCCTTCTAACGTTGGTCTGGTGTGCGGGTCTCCCTGTCGCCCCTGCAGGTCTGTCGGGAGCGCAGGGGAGTTGACGGAGCTGGTGGGGGCCGGCCTGCAGCGCCGGGCCAGGCG